TTAGGTTGGGTGAGGAATCAAACCCAGGCCTCCCATGTGGTCTCAGTCTCCCAAGCAGTAGCACCCAGTGCACACTACTGCAGTTGGGCCAAACGCTTAAATTTTAAATAAGAAATTAAAGAAAAACCAAAATAAAGTAAATTTTTACTGTCATAACTAAAAAGCTCAGGGCTGAGAAAGACTTTACATGAATCTTCATGTAATAATTAAACAATATCATCAAGGACTTAGTTTCTTTTTAATTTCCTTATAGCGTTTGGTAGTGGTTGCTTCATCCTAAGACTATTTCTTAGTGGTAGAGGACCCTATATCCTGGTTTGCTAGCCAGTCTCAATTATATCTATTCTTCTAATGTAATTATTTATAGCACTATCTTCCCTTCAAATGTGACCTTATATTGGATAATAAATTAAATAATCACCTTAATTCATGGTTGTTAAGTGACTGTCAACCACACTTAGAGCTTCATGAGTCTCTATTCATGTTCAGTTGAAGGGAGAAGAAGCTGCTCTCCCAGAAGCACTCAGAAAATCCTTCTTGTAACCTCTGTGTACAAGAAGAGCAAAATGTCCTCTCATGACATAAACATTGGTTGGGTTGGGACAATCAGGACCCACTAGGAGAGAAGAGGATAGAGTCAAGGTTGGGTCCTTAGCAGGAGGGGACAAAAGGGGACACAGATGGGGAGAAACCTATAAAGATCACTCCACTTCTAGCCATGTTCCCTGCCACTGCCCTAGTTTAGGCTTGAGCATCTCTTAGACTATTCCAATAACGTTCTTGCTGACTTTCCTCCTTTACTTTCATCCTGTCACTACCAGAATAATCTTCCTAGCATGTAGATTTGATCATGTCACTACCAAATTCAATGTTTTTTGATGTCTTGCCTCTACCTATAAAATAAATTCTAAATGCTTTATTTATCATATAAAGTTGTCCACTAGCTGGCCCTTGTCTGGTTATCTGTCTACCCTCATCCATTTTCATTTTCTTCTTTATACTTTCAACATTAGCACAACTGAGTGACTTGTGACTGGCTCATTTTTATCATGCTAGCAAATTTATATTCATCCTTCCATTGTCAGCTTGAGTGCTTAGCTCCTGATTCCTTTGAACATTTCAGGCACCTTTTCTTTTTGTGACAACTATGCTTTGTTATATAGTAAAGCCTCTTTTCTGATCAGACCAGGGTAGTGGTTGGTAGTTTAATTGAAAAATCAACTAAAACTGGGATCATAACAATAACGAAACATTCTTAAAATATATATTTAAACATCATATATAAATCACTGTTTCTCAACTTATTTTTTATTATCTAAGGAATTTTTAAAGATTTTTTCCCGTAATAACACTCCCCACAATTCTATGAAATTTTAGTAGTGTAACAGACCCATTGTATGCTTATTCATATACTCTGTGTGTATACGCTGGGCCAAGGCCTTTTACTTGGATATGGCTTCTCTGATTCAGTTCTGCCCCAGATTTCTTCCACACTGATAATACATCCTCTATAATTCCAAATTTGATTTTGTTTAAAATGAAGGAAGAATGACATTTCAAAGGCAAACTGAGGGACTGGCCCTGTACCCTAGTGGCTAAGAGAGCTGGGTTTTATACGGTCAAACACAGCACAAATCTCAGCCCCAGCAACTTGAAAAACATAGTGGGTGCACGTGCTTACATGCCTCAAATCCCAGCAGATAGAGAAATGAAGGTGAAGGGGTTGAAATGTGACTATGCCCAATTGGGGGATGCTTTCTCCCTCTCTCGCTTGGTCTCACTCTCTGGTGAAAGCACATGCCCTCTGGCAATTAAAAACAAAACCAATAGGAGTATAAAATCACATTCGATATTTGTGATTCTCTTCCCATGCCATGTGACAGATTTTTTAAGTAACTTGCTTTTATTAAGTTGTTCAAAGGCATTTAGTTTTATTTATTTATTTATTTATTATTTATTTATTTTGGAGAGGTTTTTCTTACAGGGCACATGCACTCGCCAGAGAGACAGAGAGAGACAGAGAGACAGAAGGTGACAAATCACCCCCTAGGGGGGATGATCATGCCACAATCCCCTATCCTCCATTCTCCTCTCTGGATCCTGGGCACACAAACACACATGCAGAGTGAGTTTAAGCCACCAGGGACTCGAACCATAGTCTACTACATGGGAGTCCAGTGACATAGCCAGTATGCCAACTACTGGTCCCCTAGTTTTATTTTTAACGAAAAAAAAATTTATAAAAACAATTTTTCCTCTCTACACACATATGTACACTACAAATGTACAAAGAAATAAATAGACAAAAGAGGTAGTATAAAGAAAATAACTACTACTAATAGAATTTAGTAGATGTTAAGCAGTAAGAGCATGACAAAAGTTAACTCAGTTAATCCTTAGAAGACTGGTACTATTGTTATTAGTTACTCTACTAATGAGAAAACTGAGACAAAACAGAGAAGTCGACCTTTTTTTTTCTTGCCACAAGTCTTTTAAACCCAATTTTAGAACAGAGTTTTACTGAGATGTTTCTAAGGTGTATTGGGTTGTCAAGAAAGTCATGACACATTTTGCATAGAAAAACACAGAAAAATACCTCATTGACTTTCCCCATGACCTGGTATTACCAAAGTCTGCCTTTTACGAAGCCTATTGAACATATTGTAATCTGTCTTTGAAGTGGTATAACTAATAAAAATAGGCCAATGAAAAGTTAAGGCGGCCTCCTTTTTGGGTTTCACACACAGCATTCTACATTCTCATGGAAGCTAGAAAAGTGAATTTAGCTAAATCAGGAAAAAAATCCTCGTGGGGAAATAGACTGTCAGTGTTCTGGTTTGCATCCTTCCTTTGTTGGTGAGGGGAAGTTTATCAAAGAACCAAAGACAGTATTGAGTAGTCTTGGTGGATGAGAGATTTTTTTCAAAACTGGCTCCTTCTGAGGGAGTATATGCTCAAAGCCGCAGTGGGAAGGGGGTCAGTCAAGTCTGCAATCTGTTCTAAATAGGTTGGGGTTTGAGTTGAAATGGAAGTTCACATTCCCTCCATCTTTATCCTCTCCCCTGGCCAGTTTTTTTCTTCCCCTTTTTCTGGCTTCTCTTCTAGAAACTCTGCTCCAGTTCTTGATTAGCTGCCCTAATAGGAACTGCAGTTGACTTGGGGTCTTGCTCTAATTGCTCACTTGCTCCAAGTTAGCAGCCTGGTACTTACAGGGCCCAACTTCTAAGATACACCACAAACCTCCGGTAGACTATAAACTGTAAGAAATCAGAGAGCTTATTTGCTTGCATTACACTATAGGTCCAATGCCTATAAAGTGCCTGATACCTAACAGATGATCAATAAATACTTACTGAATAAAAGAATGAATGGGTGAATGAAATGACTATAGGCCCCAATCCAATTCATTTGCTTAGCTCACCAGTGTTTTTCATAAATGTAGATTCGTTTAATGAAAATAAATTTTATAGGGAACCAGCAGTTAGCGTAATGGCTATGTCGCTGGACTCCCACGTAGTCGACCGCGGTTCGTGTCCCGGACCCGGTGGCTTAAAACTCACGCCGGGCACGTGTGCGTGCGTGCCCAAGATCCCGAGAGGAGAATGGAGGAGAAGGGATTGCGGCGTGACCATCCCCCCTGGGGGGTGATTTCTCGCTTTCTGTCTCTATGTCTCTCTCTGTCTGTCTGGTGAGCGCACGCGCCCTACAGTGAAAATCTCTCCAAAAAAAAAAAAAGAAAAGAAATTTTATAATAAGATCACGTCTTTAAAGAATCCTGGAGCGTTTTTTACCCTGTCCTATGTGCCATCTTTTACATTTGTGTTTAATTCCAGTTGAAATTTCTAGCCTTCTTCCTCTTCTATCTAGAGAAAACCTTATCCATTCTTTACTGATCATCTTAATGGCTTAAAGCCTCCAGTAAACCTTCTCTGGTGACTGCTGTTAAAAGGTAGCCATTCCCTCCTGTAATCTTCAATAGCACTAAGGTTATAACTCTCTTTGTAAGGGCATTGTACAAATTGCTTCCATATCCTTTTTTTTTTTCATTTTATCCTTACAACTTCTGAGACAGGATGTTGGACAAACGTTACTTTCCTACAGATAATAAGAAAGTTGAGAGGTTAGTGGGTATGTTCAGGGACACAGACCTGAAAATGATGGCTGTATAAGCAAGAATTTAGGTCTCTCTCTTCCCTGCTCAGTTCTTTTTACACTGCCTTACAGTGCCTGTGTTCCTGTGTTCTGGTATACATTATTATCACTCTATCAATATTACTTTCCCTCATAAATGTAAATTCCGTCAGGATCTAATCTCTTAAGAGTGCTAATTCTTTTAAAACTTTCAATTCAGGTATAGGGAAAAAAAGATTTTTCTTCTTGTAAACTGATCTTGCAATGGGTGTATAGACAAAAGAGCTGCCAAGTCGGTATAAGAGCTGGCAGACACTACTAGGGCTTCAATGGTTAGTTAACTTTTGCTCTGAAATGCTTTACTTGAACATTAACAATAAAAGTGGGTCTTTCTATAGCCAAGTCAGCACAAAACCAGTTGTAGGGAGTGACATTTATTTAATTGCTTACAAATTCTTCTTTGTAACTTCATTTTAGATGCAGCCATTCTTGGGGGGGGAGGATAGCTAAAGTAAGCAAATTGCTCCTGCAATTGCCCTTCTGCATGGGAGAACTGTGGCATTAAACCCAAATGTGATCAGTAGCTGGAGGTGGAAAGGCACAGGGAGGTCAAGAACCCTAAGGCTGGTCTTCAGATACTATCTACAGACTTTCCTGACTGGGAGTCTGATGAAACCAGCGTCACACCATAAGGTTTAAAGGTCAGGGCCTCGAGGCACCTGGGAGCGGGCCAAATCTACCACGTAGTGCCCCAGGAGGACTAGTGTTGGTTATGGGCCTGCCAATCTGAATTTAAAAAAAAAAAAAAAAAAAAAAAAAAAAAAAAAGAGTGTACACATCCGGGAGCTCTCCACCCAGTGTGACCCCGAGCATTGATGGGATCAGTAGACCAGATCGCCTGAGGTTACGCTTTCACACCCACAGCGAGTCGAACCGCTGAACTCGCCAGAGGAACCCGTCCTAACTAGTTTGTCCCTGCGGTCGCCCCGTAGGTCGTGTCGCCACGCTCTGCGTCTTCCAGGGCCTCATTGCCATGGCTGCCCGTGGTGGCGTCGCCCCCGCTGGCGAGGCTCTGCGTTACGCTGAGTACTCGCCGCCCTCGGTCAAACGGCCCGACGCGGAAATCGATCAGGGACTGGTGAGTCCCCGCCTTCTCCGCTGGCGCCCCCTACTCCCCGCCTCGCCGCTCTGTACCCTCCCTGCCCCTGGAACTCCTTCTGTCCGCCCTGGTTCACCGCCTCTGCCTTACTGCTGGCTTGGCCAGTGGAGAGGCGGCTCCGGGCCGGGCTTTGATTACCAGGAGGGGGAAACAGCAGATCTGAGGGTCCCTGTCTTCTCTGGGAGTTTCCCGTCCCGTGGGGGACACAGTCTAGGAAATAGGCAGTTGCAGATCGTGTGATATGTGGATTCGCTTATCATGGAGGAGACCCTTACCCAGCCTTGTGGGGATGTGATGGGGCCAGGGAACGCTTCTTGGAAAAAGCGATGGTTAAAAATTAAAATGTGAAGAGATAGAACAGTTAACCCAGCGAAGAGAAGTGTTTCAGGCGCCAGTAGTAGGATCTCAAAGTCTTGGTGAGAAAAAGAGCTTGGTTGAGGGACCAGCAGTTAGCGTAATGGCTGTGTCGCTGGACTCCCACGTAGTTGACCGCGGTTCGCGTCCTGGACCCGGTGGCTTAAAACTCATTCGCCGGGCGCGTGTGCGTGCATGCATGCCCAAGATTCCAAGAGGAGAATGGAGGAGAAGGGATTGGAGAAGGGATTGCGGCGTGACCATCCCCCCCTGGGGGGTGATTTCTCGCTTTCTGTCTCTATGTCTCTCTGTCTGGCGAGCTCACGCGCCGCCCTATAGAGAAAACCCCTCCAAAAAAAAAAAAAAAAAAAAGCTTGGTGAAAACCCGCAAGTTGCAGTAGTTTATTCAGGCACCAGTGTAGAGCTGGGAAAGAAAATGTCTGATAGAAACATTATAGCTGCAGATGTATTTTTAAGTTTTCTGTATCCACATTATAAAGTAAAAAAAAAAAAGGTCATATTCATTTCAATGGTATTTTATTTAACATGGTGTAAGCACAGTGTTTCAACGTAATTAACGTAAAAAGTTATTGAGAGTTTACATTACTTTTTTTTTTTTACTTGTCTTTGAAACCTAGTGTGTAGTTTATATTTACAGCACATCTCTATTTGATCTAGCCACATTTCAAATGCCCAATAGCCACAGGTGGTTAACGGCTACCTTATTGATTAATGGTGATCCCAGAAGTCGAGCAGAAAATAGAACATCTGAAGCATCTGCCAAGTTATGTGGAAGAATAGAGATGCCTCATTTTGATGAGTTTTAGGCAAAGGAGTGACAGGTTGGGATATTATAAAGTTCTTTCAGTCTATGTAAGAATGGGTTAGATGGAGAAAGCCCAAAAATAAGGCCGTTTTATCCTTTTCTCACTCCACATTCCATACCATCCTACCCACAACAAGATATCTTGCCTTTCGAAGCACTGCGCCTGTCCAAATTCTAGTCATATATCATCTTGTGATATCTTTTATGTTTACCTATTATTTTGCAGTGTTTTCATAAATTTCTAATAGCAGAGACTAGATATTTACTCTAGAAAACACTCAATTTGTGAGCACCCAGTTATCCTTACTTAAATTAACTGATACCTTTTTGAGGTAGAGTCAGATGGGCTTGCCTGGGAAGTTTCAAAAAGGAAGTGTACTTTCTTGAAAGGAACATTTCTTGAGCATTTCTAGAGCCATGTACCTTGTACTGTCCTAGGATCTTGAAGTGGTCAGTGAACAAGGCAGACTAAAACTCTGAAGTAGTAAACTTTTTGAGCTCCTACTGTGCCTGATTCATCTCTTAGGATAACCTGTTTGAAGAAGGTCCTTTTTTTTTTTTTAGTTTCTTTGCCATAGGGCATGCATGCTTACTGGAGAGAGGCAGAGATAGAGAGAAAGTGAGAAATCACCCCCAGGGGTCATGGCCACACCTGGCCACACCCAAAGTCCAAAGAAAGGCCTTTTTAATTCTCACTTAAGAAATAAGATAGATAAAGGCAAGGTCTAAATACCATGTCATACAACTTCTGTATGCTTCTGTATGTGCATGTATGTATTTCTATTTGTTCATGAGTGTGTAAAAAAGTTTATGGAAAATAAGTATTATGGGAAAAAATGCATGGATTTCAAAAAATTTTTTTTCACCAAAATAAACCCATACTGTAATTCTACCTTAAAAAAAAAAAAAAGAAGTAAGATAGAGACAGTGAGACAGAAAGTAAGAAATTGCCCTCAAGGGAGGATGGCCACACTATAATCTGAAGAAAGTCTTTTTTATCTCTCACTTCAGAAATAAGAATGGTGGTCAGGACCAGCAGTTAACGTAATGACTTTGTCGCTGGACTCCCATGTAGTCGACCGTGGTTTGAGTCCCGGACCTGGTGGCTTAAAACTCACACCGGGCACATGTGCGTGCGTGCCCAAGATCCTGAGAGGAGAATGGAGGAGAAGGGATTGCGGCGTGGCCATCCCCCCTGGGGGGCGATTTCTCGCTTTTTGTCTGTCTCTCTCTGTCTCTCTGGCAAGCGCATGAGCCCAATAGCATAAACCTCTCCAAAAAAAAAAAATAAATAAATAAATAATGGTGGGGGGCCAGCGTGTGGCATAGTAATTGGAGTGCTGGATCTCCACATGGCCAATTGCAGTACAAGTCCCAGACCTGGTGACTTGAGAATCACTCAGTGTGTGTGCACGCGTGTGATCAGAATCCCAGGAGAATGGAGAAGGGATTGCAGTGTAGCCATCCCCCCTGTGGGGGGGTAATTTTTGTTTTCCCTCTTACCATCTCTCTCTGTCTCTGTTTAGGGAGTGCGTGTACCCTAAGGCAAAAACTTTAAAAAAAAAGAATGGCCTGACCCATGGCACAGTGGTAAAATAACTAGATCCCAAACAACCGACTGTGGTTTGAATCTTGGCCCTGGCATCTCGAAAAACATGTTGGGTGCCCGTGTGCACGCTGGGTGTGTATGCATGCACTTCCCAAAATACTGGTAGGATGAAGAAGAAGTCACTGTGGCATCATTACACCCCGCTGGAGTTGCTTTCTCCCTCTTTCCATCTCTGTAAGTGCCCATACCCTCCAGCAATTGTAAAAACCAAACCAAACCAAACAGGACAAGTTGTAAGGATTATTCACCTAATAAATGACAGACCTAGGATTCCAAAACCTACACTCTTCACTATGACTTGCTGAATCTTTAGAAATAAGCCTTTCTGGATAGGATGTTATGTCTATAATATAGCCGCCTAAGATTAGGAAGAAGAAATCTCTTTATATAGAGAGTTGTAAAAATCTCAGTAGCAGGTTGATTTGTAAGGCAGTTGGGAGCTTTGTGGTATTTTGAAGGTAGAACTAATATTGGTGATTTTTTTTTTTTTTTTTTTTTTTTTTACATCTGGGGGTATTTTTACCAGGAAGAGAAGAGAGTATATAGAATCCAAAATTTCAGTTAGAAGGCATATTTATTAGTCCAGGCACGTGAAGGCTAAAGTATAGGCCAGCGATTCTCAATTCTATCCTAGTGCTCCTTTTTTATAACACATATATCCCAGTGCTCCTTTTTTATAACACATATTTTGAAAAGTCTCTTGTAATTTCCCGAAATCCTGAACGAACATTCATAGTCAATAAAACCTACCAATAAACATAATTAACAAAAACCAACATAATGTTCTGATTGAAACATAAATAAAGGTAAACTAAGTATTTTATTAGAAAGTAATATATTGTTTATAAGATGTAATGATGTGATCATTAATTGCTGGCACACACAGAATTATTGTGTATGTGACAGGTAGAACTGCAGATTGATTATCAGGCGCGTTATACTGACGTCTCAAATACCAAAAGGGCCATTGTTTTTGACAAATTGATTTTTCCCAAGTGGTGTACAATTTGTGGTAAAGTTTTGAACAAAATAAAGTTGAATCTTTCAGTTTACATGTAGTTGCATTTGTGGAAAAGTCGATCTGTACTAAAACAGTGCAAAATGATATAATTATATTTATTAAAATTTTGAATTAAGATCATCATAAATAGACTTTTCACCTGTCCAGTGAATCTTTTAAAATCTTGAGGGATGTAGATCTCTGTTGTGCAAGGCTGTCTCATACATTGCTGGGAACAGTAGGCCCCTCATCCCCACCCTATTCAGATTATTATACAAATAAAAAGGACATCACCGATTTTTCAGAATGTCCCCAAGAGGCTGTTCTGCTTCTGTTGGGAATCATAGGTCCAGGCAATGACTGAGTATGAAGTAGAAGATTGTTGATAACTTTGGGGAACTTGAAAGTACTGTAAGCAATGGGAAATTGACAAGGGTAACTTTTAGGAAAGAAAAAATGGCCTAGATAAACAATATTCTCATCAATTTTATTGGAAATGGTGGAAGATAATGTTTATCAAGGAGTTTTAAAAAACTTTCATACCTTTTTATTTATTTATTTTAAGACAGGGTCTTACTATATCATGGTCCTCTTGCTTCAACCTCCTCACTGTGATGATAGGCTACTCTTTTTTTTTTTTTTAAGATTTTGTTGCCCAGGCTCATCCTCAAGCTCAGAATCATCCTGCCTTAGCCTCCTCAAGTAGCTGGGATTCCAAGTGTATGCCTCAGTACCCAGCCTTTAGGTTAGACTGGGAATTGAACCTGAGCTTCATTCGTGGTGCCAGCCTATTGAATTATGCCTTAGTAGCTCATGATCTGTGGCTCTGCCCCTATCATTTTGTATAACTGTGATTTATTTTAAGCTTTTATGAAATAAAATTCTGCTATTGCATTTGTTAAATAACCTTTTTTTTCCCCCAGCTTCCCTTTTGAGACTAAGAATTAATGTTCAGTAGGATATTTAGGAGATTAAAAGATAAAAATGTAGGCAAAATACATACATAGTACCAGTACCTTGAGTGAAATAACATTTTACCAGTAATTGTTTAATAGAGGTTATGGTCAAATTTTGCTTTAGCAAAGCTGGTTTTCATGTAAAGCAGATGAGAAATGTTAAGGTTAGAAAAAGTTATCAAGGGGATCAGCAGATGGCATAATGGCTACTTCACTGGACTCCCATGTAGTTGA